TTTAATCCCCTTAAAGGAATAGTTCACCCCCAAATGAAAATTATAGCAATTGCTTATGCTCATGATTCTGATCCCATTTTATTTGATTTCTTCCTTAAAACACAAAAGGAGATGTTAAGCAGATTGTTAAAGCTGCTCTTTTCCCCAACACACTCTCATGGCAATGAATACGTTTTGGTGAATTGGTGGCTAATTCATATGAATTTGTACAATCTCATTCATTTGTTTTTGTACAATCTGTTTACGCCCCAGTGATTGCTTAGGGGTGAACCTTCATGCTTATTTTTTTTCTAAAGAAAAAAGCCTAAATTTACTTTGTAGAAATTCATATGAAATTGTCACTTTTTAAAAACAGCTACGTTTAAAAAAAAACTTTTTTAAAGAGTTACGTAGTAAACGTTTTAAAAGTTTGCAAACTTACATTTTAGTCTGTTTCTCATGCTTTCATTAGGCTTTAATGCTGATTTACGTTCCATTTGGAGCTCTAAATTATATAAGGTTGAGTGAGCCTTTTCATTTTTGGTGAACTATTCCTTTAATAATTCTATTTTCCTTCATGCTTATTTTTTTTTCTAAAGAAAAAAGCCTAAATTTACTTTGTAGAAATTCATATGAAATTGTCACTTTTTAAAAACAGCTACGTTTAAAAAAAAACTTTTTTAAAGAGTTACGTAGTAAACGTTTTAAAAGTTTGCAAACTTACATTTTAGTCTGTTTCTCATGCTTTCATTAGGCTTTAATGCTGATTTACGTTCCATTTGGAGCTCTAAATTACATAAGGTTGAGTGAGCCTTTTCATTTTTGGTGAACTATTCCTTTAATAATTCTATTTAGCCTAGTAATTACCTCTCTATATGACATTCCACCTCAATTTCAAGCATTTTCATGGATATTTCATTATGGGAACTCTCATTGACCAATAGATGGCAGTGTCGTAAAGGAGATGAATTTGGAACTGGTAACGTTTTCAAATGGTCTTCACACAAATTAAACTACAGGGGCCATCATATACAATACCAATCATCTAATGCAATCTATATATGTCTCAAATCGAATCTGAAGAGTTTTATTCAAACGTCAAGCTAATATCACTTAATGTAAGCTTTGTTTGACACAGATTAGATGCTTCATTGAGTAAATGCACATCTAACCCTGTGGCACTATGAGAGCTTTTTGTGTTTGAGGAGAATGGTGCATGATATCTTTTGAATGAGCAAAACAAATGATTTGCTTGGTAAGTTTATTCACTTCAAAGGTCAAAGCTTATTCATTCTGTTGGGTGACATCAGCAGACATACTATTAAACTCACTAGCTCGAGTACTCATGCCCAAATACTGCTTGAGAAACTCGCTAAAACGCTTCTGGTTGTTCCACTTGCGGGCGGATTTGCGGACGCCTATGAAACCCCCATATCTTTTTTGCAAAGACCTTCCAGGATCCATGAACTTCCTGTAGCCATACTTGTTTTTGAGGAAGCCTCCAAAGCGTTTGATTAGGTGGACGGCAGCCTCTTCCTCATCGCCTTCCATCTCACTATCTCTATCCCGCTCTTCCTCAGATTCTTGTGCTGACTGTACTTGCAGGAACTTGTATTTTTTACTGAGCTGCATATCTTGGTCCTGATCGTCCATTCCCAAGGCCCGTGTTATGTGGTCGAACCTCTGGAGGGTTTCAGAATACTGCCCATCATCCTGGTCCACAGGCAGAGAGATGTCCGCTTCCTCCTCTGCTCTTTTCAGCATGCCATTGCCAACCGATAGCAAGGCTTTTGGTTTCTGCTCCACAATGGTCCTGCGACACATCTCCCAGGTGTCGCCTGGAGAAAGTTTACCATGACACTCCACCAGACACACCTGAATGAAGACCCGCACAAACATACATGTTACAAGGTCAACATCATCATGCTTTAAATGGGTGGTTGATAGCGATTTCACTTTTTTAACGTTAGTGTGTAATGTTGCTGTTTGAGCATAAACACTATCTGCAAAGTTACGAAGTTGAAAGTTTAAAAATAAATTGCAACCACTGTTTCCTGACATCATCCACTTTCGGAAGCCCAAACAAAGATGTTTGGGCACGGAGGTGAAAAAAAACTGCGTTTTAGGCGGTCGCGCACCGGACGAGAAGTGCAGCGTCGCGCCACATCTTTAAAATTAAAATACATTATTTTCTATGAGTGTAGGCACACCGTCAGCGCCGTTCGGCGTCTGTCCGCGGCGCCCAGCTACGCCGTGTTGTACTTGTAAGAATTGTTCTAGACATGCTGAAAATGTGATGCTACAGCACAGCAGCTCTTCTTCTTTGTTTTCTCTGATCCACTAACTCTGCAGCAGCACTTCTTCTTCATCGTCTTGTCTGATACAGTCTGGAGAACAAACGCTGTAGTCCAAATTAGCCGTTCATTGTAGTTCTTGAAAAGGGATTTAAAAAAAACTAAATATCTCCCTTTGGAGTGGACTTTGAGATTTGTAACTTTCTAGATCTTTTTATGCCCAAACATACACACTACACACTGACTAAAATTAAAAATAATAATAATAACCCCTTTATTAATTAAATTAATAATTTAATAACCCCTTTAATACTGTTCCTCGCATCGCCTGCTTGACCTCTCTCTCTCTCATTCAGATCATCAGCTCAGTTCTGTTCCATTTATACACTTATTTTCACATAGCTATGAGAAGCGTTATACATGGACGCGCGTGCAGTTGCCGTACTGTATTAAAGCTTTAATCAGGACAAAATCGTATATTAAAAGCTAACATAAGCAGTAGAATTTACAAATAACATCATATCTAAAAGTATGAGACAACAACAAACAAAAAACATAGGCCTATCATTAAAAGCCGTGCTTGCACAGGTTCTGCACGATCCTCTTCAATAATATCCTCTGCTTCTCAATTGGGCTCAAACTGATAGGCGATATTAACGACGCCTTTGTTTACAATACAACCAGAGCACATGCCACTGAGGTGAGGGAAGCGACGTTTAGACGCGCACTAGAGGCGGTTTAGCCAATCACAACACACTGGGCTAGCTAACCAATCAGCGCCCATCGCCTCTGAGGGCGGGGCTTCATAAAAACAGGAAAAGATCAGACCGTTTCTCAGAGAAGAGACAGAGCAGTGTGGAATAAAGGTAAATTATGTGAAATATAATGAGTTTTTTAAAAAACGAATCATTAGCACTTGTTAGACTGCACCCCATAAACACAATCAAGCCTAGAAAAAAGCCAGTGAACCACCCCTTTAATAGAGTCACACTGTTTTACATTACAATATGAGAGTGTGTCTTATTCAGCACAACGCTGCTTTAAGCTGGTTTCCCAGCCAAGCCAAACGAGAGTTCAGATAGTTTTAGCTGGTTGGCCAGCTGGTCTCCCAGTCTAACCAGCTGAAGTGCCCCAAACCCCTCTAAAACCAGTCAAAAATGCTGACCAGTCTGAGAGACCACCTAAGACCAGCTTAGGCTGGCAGCAGTTTCTTTATTACAGCAGAGTAACGCAAAGTAAGTTAAAATTAAAACAGAATTGTCCCTACTTATTTTTTAATACAAATTATTTTCAACAAATCTTTTAAAAAAAGACTTTAAACAATAAAATCATTTTCAACACCTCCTCTGCAACCACTTCTGTTTTTTTTTATGGTTTTGCTTTTAAAAAATATTTTTACTACCTATTACTGATCGATTTAATTAAGTCACACCCCTTTTTTGTCTATTAATTTCTTAAGAAATATGCCACATGGAGGTAAAATGGGATTTATTAAGTAAAACCTTAGTTTAATTTGATTGGCCAAGCGACTTGCCAATGCCACGACTTTTTGAAGTGACTCGTTTTGCAGGTTACAAGTGAATCATTGATTCAACCGATTCGTACAAAACACTTGTTCCGTTCAGTGAAGAAGCACAGGTAACTGCAGCGGTCGATCTCGTTTGGCTTCGTGTGTAATAATTGTCTTTGGAGTAAGAAAAATAGACAACTGTAACTGGAAATATGGTAGGTAAAATGTAAGTCACCCAGTATTACCTTATTTTTAACGGTTTATTGAACTGTAGGAAAGCAATATCACATTCGCAATAGCTATTTGGTCTGATCTGGAGATTGGTGGAGCGTACTGCTCTCTTGCTCGTGGATATTGCTTAATTAGACCGTTTTATCTTTAAGTATACTGGACCAGAGATTTTTTTTCAAAAGTGTTTCTGAAAAGTGAATTTCATGAGAACTTGAGTAGCATCTAAAAACTAAAGTCATAGTTATGACTAAAGTTATAGTTTAACTAAAGTTAAAATGGGAGGAGCGCGAGCTATACCTCGTTATCCGGTGTAACCAGTTAACCCTTTTAAATTAACAGTTTAGTTTGGAGGGAGTTGGTTAGTTATCAGAAGAGTTATATCTGCTCATTCATGCTGAAAAACGATAAGAACACCTCAGGGTGAGCCTGTGCTATGGAGGGCTACTCAGGCCCATCAGTAAGCACGCAGCCTTGCCGAATGATGTTATTGTGTTTCTACTTAATTACACAACAAGATAACTGAATCACCCCGGCTGTTTTGAGTCAAAGGGCCAACTTTAACCAAATTAGCACTTCTGCCCCCTCAAATGCGTGTTATTGACATGAATCAGAGAGTAGCTATGTCCTCCTCGGAGCTATAATGAGCTGCAGAGCACAACCACATTCCACTGTTATGATCATTATGATTGTCAACTAATGGCGAGTCTCGGGGAAATTCGATACAGTTGAGGCCATAGGTCTTGGGCTGTACAGAAAATGAAATAAGATTAACGAAGCTGTAGAAGATCTGTGCAGAGTAACATAAAACTAGACTTGTACATTTTCTGAAGAAAATGAAAGTGCTGCTTGCTTGCCTGTGACTGTTGTGGGTGGTTTCTCATTTTCTTTAGTTTAAGTTAACATAATAACTAAACATAACTCAAACTAAATAAACAAAAACAACAAAATTACTAAAATTACAGTGAACACTGAAACTATAAAAATAAATCTAACTGTAAGTATTACCAAAAACTAGTTTACGGTTGCTAGGGTGTTTGAGTGGTTTCTATGAGGTTGCCATATCAAGAGATCCTAACTTTAAGTATAGTATCTATTATATTCTGGTTTCTATGGTTTGGATATCTCCTTTATTGTAAGAGTATGGGGTTTCCCCCCTTTTGTTTTATCATCTTCCAGACAAAATAGAGGATCAACTTTGTATGTTTCTCCTTTGAAAAAAAAACTTGAATAACTGATATAATTATTGATGTATATAAGAACATAAAACTATAAAATTAATATGGCTGGCATATTATAAAATAATTTGAGTTTATAGAAAATCTCTGATTGTTGGCACAATCTGAGATTTTGAGATCTTTTGAAACTCTAGACAAGATGTGAGATTATTATTATAATTTTTTTTAAGTTAAGCAAAAGTCTCCAATTGCACTCCATTTAATCTCACTTCTGTATAGAAGAGATAGTAAGAGGTCTTGTGATATTCTTTACTACGGGGAGTGATGGACACTGTAGGGAATTACCAAATTGTTGAAGGCATATTCATTAGGCAGTTTTTGGCTGCAGAAGAGGCAATCCTTCTGGCAGTCACACCATGCTGGGTTACACAGTCCAAGCAACAGTAGCGTCCACAGTGGAGTCTTCATCACGCAGTGTGTTAACAGCTGAAGTACAGTCTGTAGAGAGGATAGAGACAGAGATGATGGTGTGAGAGAGAAAATAGGTTACGATTCCTGGAAATAAATCTGACCACAACAGAATGTGTATACGTTAGTTCAACCTACTGGAACATTTCTGATTGGTCAAGTGCATCATTTGCCATCTTTGTGACTCAAATCTAAAAAATAAAAAAATAACCAGCTGAGAACTTAAAGGGGTCATATGATATTGCTAAAAAGAACATTATTTGGTGTAATGAAATGTTTATGCGGTTTAAGGTAAAAAAAACCCACATTATTTTCCACATACTGTACATTGTTGTTTCTCCTCTATGTCCCGCCTTTCTGAAACGCGAGTTTTACAAAGCTCATCGGTCTGAAAAGCGAGGTGTGCTCTGATTGGCCAGCTATCCAGTGCGTTGTGATTGGCCGAATATCTCAAGTGTGTGACGGAAATGTTACGCCTCTTACCATACTGTGATGCCTTGTCCGGCCGGAGCGACGAGACAAAAACATTAAAACCCATTATAAACGAGGCATTTGTTGCATCCAGTGGGGACATAATTACGGATTATATTGATTTATACTGTCTTTTTACGTGTTGCGTTGCATCACGCCACGTAAACACAAAACCATGTCTGCATTTGTGATCGGAGAAATGACAAACAACAAGCGCTACTCTACACTGCTCAAAACTCGCGTTTGAATCGTCAGCAAATTCTTTCAATATAAAAAACGTACTAACAGTCTGTGAGTCAGAACAGCCGGCATTGTAGTCTATACCAGGATCAGGAAACGGTCCTCCATAAAATGCGCTGCACACATGAATATTTGGGTTGAAGTGTTCTGGAACAGTGTTGTAAATACAACTTAACCACTGATTTCTAGTCGTGTCCTCTTTTGGAAGGCCAAACAAAGTATTTTCGCTTTCGCAACGAAACGCACAGCATGGCGGCGGCAGCAACAATAAAGTTCCTCCTCCTTTCTTTGCGTGAACATTTGGGCGGCGTTATGCAAATCTTCCCACATCGTGACGTAGACATGTGGGGGCGTGTTTAAATGATGCGTTTTAGGTAGGCGTGGTTGACTCTTAACTTTTATAAAGAATATCTCTTTGGGTTTGAGACTTTAGTCTTTGCAACTTTAGGGATCTTATCTATTCACGAACAGCTTGTAACACTCCAAAGAGAAAGGAAAACTTGAAATCGCATCATATGACCCCTTTAAAATAAAGCTAAATATGTTACCTAGGAAAAAGGTTGATAGCAGATTAAACAATTTATTCTAAATGAATGTTGTTTTATTGGTGCAGTGTTTTGTTGGTTGCTGGGCGACTTGTTTTCTACATTGTAATGGGCTGTTTTTCTTTGCAGAAGCTGTAAACTAATCTAAGATAAATTAATTTAATAAAATAATTTCAACTCCGTTCAATATTTAATGACCTTTTATTTGTTTATTTTGGCAAGTAGCTGTGTAATGTACAGTCAGAAGGTCATTAGTGCAAAATAAACTCCTTCAGGGTGAGATTATTTTGTGAGGATAACTGTATGAATGTTCATTATCCCTCACATAATCTAAAATAGATTTAGTAAAAAAATGCTGCCTATCTGTGTGACATTAACTAATCATATTTAAAGGTACTTTTTGAATGTATTCGAGACCGACTTAGCATTTGCCAGTACTTCATTATCAAAACTCATCATCTGTAGTAATTGAAGCTAGAATTGAGGTCATTAGTGCAAAATAAACTCCTTCAGGGTGAGATTATTTTGTGAGGATAACTGTATGAATGTACATTATCCCTCACATAATCTAAAATAGATTTAGTAAAAAAATGCTGCCTATCTGTGTGACATTAACTAATCATATTTAAAGGTACTTTTTGAATGTATTCGTGACCGACTTAGCATTTGCCAGTACTTCATTATCAAAACTCATCATCTGTAGTAATTGAAGCTAGAATTAGTGCTTGTGGCGTAATGGGAGCAGAATGGTGAAAAAGGAGGGGGATTTGAGCCGCTGTGATGCACGCTGGTTAAGCAGTCTTAGTCACCACATTAGTCCAAACAATAGAAAGGACTATAAAGCGCTTCAGTCCTTTTTATGCCAAAGCTTTAAGAATAATAACCTTATCCTGCAGCTGCCTTGTCAAGCAAATAAAGCACGGATGAATGTACGTTTCAGCATTGACAGTTGGCCGGTGACATGCTGCCCACCAAACCATCAGTTGTTTAGTTGCTTCAAAAGCAACTTCAAGATAAATCAATTTCACCTGCATTACACTTGTACTGAAGGTGTCACCAGGAACAAAAGCAAAGCTGTAAGTCACAGAGAATCAATAGGCACCCCTTGAGTGAGTTTTATTGAATTTAGTCACCGTAAGAGTAACAGACAAGGAAAGACACATAATTATAAGTGTGAGTGAATTACGCACAACTTTATGCAGGGGGAACAAACTGAATATTGATTTTGTCGCTCCCGTTAGTTAATTTATGTATTTATTTTTTCTCAGGAACTACAAGATGACATAATTAAATGGATTCAGGCCAGGCCGCAACATTGTTTAGAGGTGATATTTCAAGTGGGGATTGTTTGTTACAACTATAGTTTTTCCTTTTCAGCAGCTATTTTTTTTCTGGTTGAAGTTTCTCATTTAAATTTAGATTACCAGTGCACATTTCTGTGCACCTCAGGTGCCCCAGAAATTCTTAATCTCACTGCGGTTTGTACAGACTCATACATACATGTGGGATGCAGAGCTTGGCAGGCCTTCAAGATTTAATTAACTAACTCAATTATGTAATGAAATAGACTAAACCAAGATGGACAGAGTGATTTAACTTTTGACCTTTGGAATTATCTCATATGCTCAAAGGAAAGAACAATCTCTCATTGACTAAGTGGGAGGAAATTAGTGCACTTTGAGAAACTGTGTTTTTTATATCATAAGAAAGCTTTTCTGTTTTGAAAAGGAATAACTAAGTGCTCTATTTACAGAATGTCAGTGCTTCATAATCTGTAGCAAAACATTTAGTGATTTTTGACATTGTTTAATGCCATCTTTACATTGTGTCTAAAGTGGCATTTTTGCCACAATATGAATTATTTACACAAACAGTTTAATGCTGCATGGATGTGGCATACATGCATTTGCATAGAAATTACAATTATTAATAAACGTATTAAATTAATGTTTTGAATATGAAATCATTGTAACATGAAAGCCTATTTGCCTCGATAACAGGCAAATAGCAATAATATACATTAACAGTAATATATATTGTTATACTTAATTTCTCATCATCACATTTTATTTCAGTTCAGACTTTATATCTCCATTACTTTATCTCACAATGTTATTATAAATGTGCTTCAGTTTCTTGTAATTGTGACTTGATTTTTCATAATTGCAACTTTAAATTGCAAATTTTCACTATTTTTCACAACTGAGACTTTATATCATACAATGTGAATTTTGATTTCACATTTGCTACTTTTTCTCTTAGTTGTGACTTAATTTTCCATTGCGACTTTTTTCACATTTAGGACTTAATATCTTAGTGATATTTTATCTCACAATTGCTACTCTGTATCTAGTAACTGCAAATTTGTTTTTCACTTATTACTTAATGTGACTATAGCTCACATTAAGACTCTATATTGCAATATGACCATCTCTCACAATATTGTTTTATTCCTTATTTTAAAATTTGTCTCATGATAATCTGTTATGTTTTTTGTTCTGAGGTGGGTTACAGTATAAAAATATGAAATTATGAATAAAAATATGTAAATTAGAAAATTAAATAAATAAATACTCTATTATGACAACAGCAACGTTTCTGCTCTGCTGCTGCATTTTATTACATTTACAGAAAACAAGCAGCATCAGATGCTAGGGGCTCAGGTGGATCAGAGCAGCATATTTTAAAGGGGCCATGAACTGCCTTTTTTATTATTTTGTACTGTTCTCTGAGGTCCAGTTATAATGTTATCAAGAAAACATCATAATTTAGGAGTAATAGGCTATTTTTTGTCCTGTTTTGACCCCCCTCATCAGAACGCTCTGTTTGAATAGGTGTGGCGGTTTGTAGACTGGGAAGTAAACACCCACTGCTATGATTGGCTAACAGTTGTGTATGTTTGACATCCTACATCCTTCATAGATGAACGCTGCTGTGATTTAAGTTAAAAATGCATAAATACTCTACATATCAAACGATCTGTAATAACAGACAAAGCAATAGTACCACGAAATAAAAACAGTTACTCACACTTGTTTGGTGCGACATTACTTCGGATCTAATATAGTCGGCACAGCATCGTCTTTAGTTTAAATCTTTCTGAAAACCCTGAGTCGAATTGTGCCTTGTTTGTAAACGAATCCGTGGTAAAATGAAGTGATCAAAGGACAAAATTCTTACTGATGCGGTCTAGATCTTAAAAATAAAGTTAATCCACTCCTTTCTAATGTTGGGATCAGAAGGAAGGCAATGCAAAAACTGTTTATTTTTTCCCCACAACTTGGCACTGCACAGCGTCTTGTTGTCTTCGGAGCATCTTTATCGTTTGATTTCTGCGTAGACCTACGTTTTCTTCTCTTGATATTTACCCACTATGTGAGTGAATCGGTGGGCGGGGCTAAACAGGCAGTGATATAGAAGCGAGCGTTGATCTTCGTCTGTGTTTAGCCACACTTTTATGTCATAAAGTGGCACATTCCTCAACCTGTCGTTTTTGTAGATTGGCTTCAATATAAGCTGTTGAAAGTTTTGAGTTCTGAAATTTACAGGATGTTTCTATAGTACAATGACCTCTTATGTGTCTCAAGATCAAGGGATTTTTTCATTTCTCAGTTCATGACCCATTTAATAGGCTTTTAGGCAGTCTCCTCTCCTCAAAAAGTCTCCTGAGCATCATATCTGAATCCAATACAATATTGGAATATGATCATAATGTGCTGCCAATAATTTTAATTAGGGTGGAGACTATATGACGCTGACTGCTGTACCTGGTTT